GTGTAGAATATGGACTCTTCCCTCCAGTATGCCTTCTAAACAGCCACTTCAGACTTAATGAAGAAATGTTTCCTTATAGGAAGGAGGATGAAACCCCTTTTTAAAGAGAATCCCATTTAGGGACAAGCCCGCGATACCTGGCATAAATTAGGAATTCATCAGTGACCATCTTGCCCGTCTTGTAAAGCTAATTAAGAAAGTGAAAGATAATTACCATCAACGTCAACCTGAGGGATTGTACGTCATCAAAACAATCAGCCTAAATTTAAAGGTAATAGTGACTTAGGTTTCTATAAAACTATAAAACAATTAGCTATAAAAATGGTAAATGGTAAATATACCTAAACCCTTTATAGTGCTTTTCAACTAAAATAAGAATGCAAACATTTGTTTTAAACAAAATAGCCATTTTCAGCCAGAAAGTTTTAAATCCAGCCACCGGTATTGGGTTGCAATCACTGTTTTGCTCAGATTTGACTGCATGGCCCACTTCCAGCTGACAAATGCAAATAGCCTCCTACTAGGGTTGCCACTCAACTTGTAGTTTATCACAATGGGGCTTTTTGTTATTTTTACTGACGTGTTTTTTACCCTGTTACCACCCCCTTATGCTGGTGTAAGGACTTATATTAAATTATGTAGTAGCTGGTGTCAGTTTCTGATCCAGCACTAACTGCTGCGTCTCCTCATGTCCCACGGTATCTGTGCGAGTGCACGCTGCCTGCATGGACTTACCCTGTGTCAATCCTCTTCTCCTGGCCAAACATCTCTACTGCACATGTGCCCGCCCCATGATCCTTTGCAGCCGCCCAAGAATCTTCAGATCTTTGGACGGGAGCGACACAGGTAAAGACACAGCGACACAGGTAATTTTAAACCTATTTGGTAACGTTTTTTTCTGTTTTTTTTGCATATATCGACTGCTTGCTAGGGTTTAATTATTCTTCAAAGCATTGGCCCCATAATCCTCTCACAGAAGTCTCTGGGGTGCAAACTGGAGCACGTTATATGAGTAATTTGTTTAAAGTGCATGCCTTGCACAAATAAAAAGCCTAGTAATTGCCTGCGTGATAAAGTTTACCAATGATAAATGAGTAATGCTCACAGTACCTAACAATGATTATGCAGGAAAATTGATTATTCTTAAAAAGAGTTTTTGTATTTCCCCACCACTAATTAAGTTATTAAAATAAAACCTTATAATTTATTTCTCAAAATATTCACAGCTGTGCTTGGGAATCTGAGACATCGTGTCCAAATAAACATTTTGTTGTAGTGTTTAGGCTGAAGATTACACTCTGATTAAGGTGGATGTACTGTATAAATAGAGTGCTAATTAAATAATACAGTGTAGAATATGGACTCTTCCCTCCAGTATGCCTTCTAAACAGCCACTTCAGACTTAATGAAGAAATGTTTCCTTATAGGAAGGAGGATGAAACCCCTTTTTAAAGAGAATCCCATTTAGGGACAAGCCCGCGATACCTGGCATAAATTAGGAATTCATCAGTGACCATCTTGCCCGTCTTGTAAAGCTAATTAAGAAAGTGAAAGATAATTACCATCAACGTCAACCTGAGGGATTGTACGTCATCAAAACAATCAGCCTAAATTTAAAGGTAATAGTGACTTAGGTTTCTATAAAACTATAAAACAATTAGCTATAAAAATGGTAAATGGTAAATATACCTAAACCCTTTATAGTGCTTTTCAACTAAAATAAGAATGCAAACATTTGTTTTAAACAAAATAGCCATTTTCAGCCAGAAAGTTTTAAATCCAGCCACCGGTATTGGGTTGCAATCACTGTTTTGCTCAGATTTGACTGCATGGCCCACTTCCAGCTGACAAATGCAAATAGCCTCCTACTAGGGTTGCCACTCAACTTGTAGTTTATCACAATGGGGCTTTTTGTTATTTTTACTGACGTGTTTTTTACCCTGTGCAGGAGAGCTAATGGCCACTAAGATAGTAAAAAAAAGCTCACATTGTGGATGTCTCAGTTTGGTTGTAATACACTAGAAAGATCCTTCTGTCTAGGTTGTTTAATAAAAGATGGGTCCTAGTCACTCTGTAAAATAATCTGGAACAATTTATTTTTCAGACTGCAGAAATATAATGGACGGTGAGGAGCAAATCAGGATACCCGGATACCCCAATCACAATGCGGTTCGGATCGCAATGTATGGGATCGTTCATGCCAGCGGATCCGCGTGGCCAAATCCACACGCCTGAAGCGTGTGAACGGGGCCTTAAGGAATACTAGACTGCCCCAAAATACAAGAAATGTTATAACAGCTGACATCTAAAGGTGACCATCATATTGTTTTTAATAGGGATGTACAGATACTTTTCGAGTACCAGTGCAGATACTTGGCATTTTCATGAGAACTACCAGGGTTGCAGTGGTTGCAGCTGGGACTTGGCTCTGGCACTCCACCACTGTCCTGAAATCATTAGTCTGTATTGTTTTAGAAAAACTGTCACATGACAATAAACAAAAATGTATCAGTACTCGTACTTGTAAGTACTCGGCAAGTACCAGTACTCGTACTCGCAAAACTGGTATCTGTGCATCCCTTTATTTATATTTATAAAAACAAAATCGTACATTAAAACAGAGATGTACAAATCCCAGGAGCTCCGTGTGCTCCTTACAAATGACAGCTGCCTCCTAATTTTTGAATTTTTCTCTAGTGTAGTCTTGGAGCTCAAAAGTATCGGTACATGTACTCGTACTTGTACCGAGTACTGTACTTGGTATCTGTGCAACCCTAGTTTTTAATATTCAAGTGTTGGCTTCCCAGACAGTTCAACACAGCACTGTTGTTATTTATCAAGTAGTTACTAGCAGTGCACATCTCCTGTTTTCTTTATTCTACTGAAAATAACACAATTCATTAATCCATCCAAGTAGCTGAGCTACATGAATTATGGGATTCTCTGCAGATCGAACAAACCTGCATGCTTTCCTTTAGTGGATTTTTTTTTTTTTTTAAACTCTGGTTTGCAAATCGATTTGCTCCTCTCTACATGGGAGCTGCCTTTTATTAAAGTTTGTACAAAGTCAAACATTTTTTTTTTCAGTTTTGGAGAAAGTGGGAAATAATTATAAATAGTAATGAGCCAACTGAGCAAAGTTCGGTTTGCTGGACTTTCACAGAACACTTCAAGGCCAGTTCTTAAGCTTTTCTTAAAAAACGACATAGGTAGCTGGGCACTGCCATGGGGGACATGTAGTAATGCACAAAATTGAAAAATCAAAATTCAGCAGGGAGCATGTTTTAAAATAAGGTTTGAAAGGCAGCAATATAAATACACAATTCCTTTAACCCTTTTGCTGCCAGGTCCTTTTTTGTGTTTTTTTGTACACACGTTATCATTATAAATATACTATTATAAATTATTCTACATTATACATTTTCTGAAAGCAAAAACCATGTAGAATAAAATGGTGGCAGTGGCAAATTTTTCCATCACACAATATTAGTGGAACAATAATTTAGTCGAAAAATCCATTTAAGTTAATTTTAGTGCCCCAAACAAAAATAAAAATTTTTGGGGGTAAAATATAAAAGATGAGGTTACAACATGTAAATAGATACCCAAAATGCCCAGGTTAAGAACTGTGTACGTACAAAATATGGTACCCCAAATTGTCCATTATTAATAGCCCATACAGGTCATTAGTTTAGAGATATCCGTGGATATTGGCCCTAGAATTATTGCTCTCACTCTGGTGCAGCAGCCATACCTAACATGTGTAGCACGATTGTTGTTTTCATATGTAGGCAAACTGATATGTGTTTATGTTAATACGTGTGTGCTCGTGGAAGCGACTTTAAAAAATATATATTTTTACATTTGTTTTATAATTTTGTTTTTTTAACTTTACTTTACTTCATTACTTTTACAAGCCCCCTATGTGATAGCATACTAGTAGTGACATGTACTCTTTAAGGTGACATTAGGGGTCTATTAGACTCTGAGGATCAGGTGGGTACAACTGTTATTTTCAGCCCTAGACCAAAAAGAGAAATTAACTCTTGAAGTGGGGCTAGCCCCGCACTGCAAGGGCTAACTGCTCATTTTGGTCTAGAACCCAAAAAAATACCCAGAGTTCTTCTTTAACATCATGGCTAAAACAGAATAGGGCTGTCAATTAAAAACACGCCTGATTTTAAGTGATGTATCTAGAGGAGGATCTTGTATCTGAATTTAATGACTTTTTTGAAATGATGCATCACCCGAGGAGTCAGACATACCACTTACATATCAGGAATAATAATACTAAAACTGCTAATTAATAGCACCTTCTTGGAACAGAAATATTCAAGGTACTGGTATATTTTTTGTATACAGATGTTCTTCGCTTACCGACTTACCTGTTTTGCGACCACTCGCACTTACAACGGACCGCCGATCGACCTCTGACCGTGCGCGTCAACGTCAGTGCGCCGCGTCGCCGGCGGAAGTGGTGTCCTCCGATCTTCACTGCGGGTCCCGGTAAGTATTTTCATTGCCCGATGTACAGTACAGTGTTCGGTACTGTACATCGGCAACGCTATACAGTACTGTACTAATGCAGTACAGTACTGTATAGAGTTCCTCACTTAACGACCAATCCGTTTAACGACCTGGTCGTAGGAACGGAACTCGGTCGTTAAGTGAGGAATGCCTGTAAATGTTATAGCACCAATATACTGTGTTATATTATTTTTCATTTAAGTATATTTTCTGTATTTATTTTTATTCTGTATTATTGACACTGTCATTTTTCTTTTACCAAATGTATAGCTGCATAGTCCTTTTTTTGGCTAGTCCTAAATAACCTTCCCAATTGCATAATTCATGGTAAAAAAAAAGATACATTTATATGTGTCTTATGTAAGTTTTTCTGAGATGTATTTTTGTATACAACAGCCCCTCCACCGCACCACCCCACCCCTGCTGCCTTTACTTATCGTCTCTGCATGGGATTATAAAATGCATTTACCTACCTGCTTGTTCATAAAGATGTAGATAATGGGGTTGTAAACAGTGCTGCTTTTTGCCAGGACAGAAGGTATAATGCTGGCAGAAGGGGTGATCAGGCCGGGTCTTCCAAAAGTAGCAATCAAGGCCATTATTCCGTATGGCAGCCAGCAGAGGAGAAAGCAGATGACCATCACAATGACCATAATGAGGACTCTCTGCTCCCGAGTTCGAGCTGAGACTTTTGTAACACCGCTGATCTGTAGAAGAAACAGGAAAACCTTATTATCCAGCAAAATGCTCACATTCCTTGAATGTAAAAACGGCGTATAAATCATGTATGGTGATACGGAATTAGATTTAGGGGCTAAAAGGAGCTACTAAAGAATAACTTCACTTTATATTGATATGAAAGTCAAAAGGTGTTTAAGCTATTTCAAATGCTGATAAAATCACTTACAATGGATGCTGCTCCTAGATGTTTAAAAGTTTTGGGGGGTTATTCACTAAAGAGCCAAAGGATCCAGCCGTAGCTTCAGCTGATCCTTTGACTCGCTTCAACCACCTCTGCTGTACGGGCTATTCACAATAGCCCGTACAGCAGCCGAACCGAACTTACTGTATATGCTTCGGCTCGGCTGATCCGTAGTGACACCCAAAGCGCAGAGAAAGGTCGGCCGAAGCCCAGTAGTAATGACAGATCTGTCATTAAACAATAACAACTGGTTGGAGCCAGCCGTCACGTCACAGCCAGCTCCGCCCAGTTGTTATTCATTGGCTGGGACCTGCTAGAAGACTCTGGCAGGTGTCGGCCAATAGGAAACAGTTGGGCAGAGCTAGCTGTCAACACCAGCGCCACCCAATTGTTATTATTTTGCCGGCATCTGTTAGATGCTTCATTATGCGATGGGAGTCAGTCGCACGTGGTCGGGTCGGCGTGCGTTGTTTTTTTAAATGATTTTTTTTCTTTAAAATATTTTTCATGTTTTAAATTTTCCTATTTTTTAAAAATAATTTTTCAACTTTTTTACGCTACCTCGTAGGTACGGTCGGCATTCGGCTATTCACTTACTGCCATACGGCCCCTATGAGATGTTGGATCGGCTGAGTTGAAGTCCTCCTGCACTTCGGCTCAGCCTCCACAAACACACACGCACAGCAAAGCAAGCCATTTCCCTTCTCCCCTCTCCACCTTACTCCCTTCCCGCAAGCTAGTAGACGGACAGCTGCTGCAGACTGCTCTGTCCCTTGTGATCTTGTACTGGACATTAAGTTCAGAGAAGGTGAGGTCAGAGAGTTGGAGCTTTTTGGGAACATGATTACTGCACATGCTTGGGCAAAAATTAAAAGAAATAATTTGCTGTTCATCATAAATTGGTTTGATCTGGATTCATTAATGAAAAAAGCTGAAGCTCAGGTAGATATACTTAACCATAGTGATGCAGCTCTGAATAAGTTTTTTAATTCCTCTTTACATTCCTTTGAAATCCTGCTCTAGCAGAGCTCAGACTGTAGGATGAAGCAGCACAAGGAACTAGTCATTTGTGCTGCAGTGCTCATGTGCTAACAAGGGTCGTAGTTATGGGATGTGAGCGCCGAGTGATAGAGGGATGAGCTCATCAATCTGCTTCTTCTCCTGTCACTACCCAATCACAGCCTGGGGAAGGAACAAGACCTGTAAGTGTTACTAAACTGCAGCAGAGAAAAATCAGGTCTCTGCTCTCACACCGGACTGTGCTGTGTTGTAGAGCTATGTAGATTTCAGCAGTGGCGTCACAAGGGGGGTGCGGCCTGCACCCAGGTGTCACCATTGCAGGGGTGACACCAAAATGACTGACAGTCATTTTGGTTCCACCCGCTCTAAAAGGTCAGGCACTTAGTCATGGGCCGAGAGCTCAACAGTGTCAGGAGAGAGGAGGGGACCCAGTGGCATACCTCATCCCGCCGGGTGAACGTCCCCTCCTTTCTCTGCCGGCATCCATCACCAAGATGGCCACCGGCAGGCGTCAATCAGATGGTTGCGCATGCGCGATAAAGTCATCGCGTATGCGCGAGGTCACGTCACGCGCAAGCGTGATGACGACATGGCGTGGGGTCACCCGGTCTAGAGACTGGGTGAAACCCGGCCTTGGGACGCCACTGGATGTCAGCACTTGATGGACAGAAAAAAAGCTCCTGTATTTTTGAATACTGTGCGTTGTGGTGGAAAAAATTAGTGCGTGCACCAGTGTTGTAGGCTGTCACTCAAGGCTCAGGCAGTGAGTTAGGTGGACCTGTAGGAAGCAGCATTCACCTTAGATACCCTGGAAGCTGTGAGGAAGGAGCCTGAATGCCACTGCCTGCTCCCAAGCTGACTCGATGGGGCCGGTACGGGATAGCTGGCTGTACCCCCTCTATCAGTGGCCCTGGCCAGCAGAGGTGTGTGTGTGTGTGGAGGGGGGAAGAGTCTCCCCGAGCCTCAACTGATCTTCCCTCTAGTTCTTAAATATGTCCTAATCTGGTTAGGCTTTACCTTCATCAACGCAAGAGAAGAGCCGGCCCGGGGTTAGAGAAGGCTTCTAGGGTAGTAGTTTCGCAAATGCCTAGCAGATACGAAGCCGTGGCCCAACAGGAGGGAGGCTACAGCCTGGCACAGCCTTGTTCTTCAATTAAATGTGAATTCTTTCGTTTCTAAATTATCAAAGCTTTACACAAGCTTAAACATCCTTTTTTTCAATTCTCATTGAAAAAGTCCCTTTCTTGAAAAGTATCCTGATGTGTTTGCTTTTAGAATTGAGCCTTTTGTACAGTGTGTTATATTAGTTTCCATTTAGGATTCTTTTCCGTATTTATTTCTATTCTCTATTATTGACACTGTAATTTTTCATTTACAAAATGTAGAGCTGCATTGTCCTTTTTTTACAGATTTTTTTACAGCTAGTTCTAAATAACCTTCACAATTGCAAAATTCACAGGAAAAAAATGATACATTTATATACGCCTTAAGGATTTTTTAAAATATGTATTTTTGTATATAACAATTACCCATACCCCCCCCCCCCCAATCCCCCAACCTTCATTTTCCCTCACCCAAAGG